TACACTTGCTTTATCCTGACCCATTGTAGTAATACACATTGTTACACTTGCTTTATCCTGATCCATAGTAGTAATACACTTTGTTACACTTGCTTTATCCTGACCCATAGTAGTATTACAGTTTGTTACACTTGCTTTATCCTGACCCATAGTAGTAATACACATTGTTACACTTGCTTTATCCTGACCCATTGTAGTAATACACTTTGTTACACTTGCTTTATCCTGACCCATAGTAGTAATACACATTGTTACACTTGCTTTATCCTGACCCATTGTAGTATTACAGTTTGTTACACTTGCTTTATCCTGATCCATTGTAGTAATACACATTGTTACACTTGCTTTATCCAGACCCATTGTAGTAATACACATTGTTACACTTGCTTTATCCTGACCCATTGTAGTAATACACATTGTTACACTTGCTTTATCCTGACCCATAGTAGTATTAGAATTTGTTACACTTGCTTCATCCTGACCCATAGTAGTAATACACTTTGTTACACTTGCTTCATCCTGACCCATAGTAGTAATACACTTTGTTACACTTGCTTTATCCTGACCCACAGTAGTATTAGAATTTGTTACACTTGCTTCATCCTGACCCATAGTAGTATTAGAATTTGTTACACTTGCTTTATCCTGACCCATAGTAGTATTAGACTTTGTTACACTTGACATTTTCATTTATAACATCATTATTAAAGTGGCGGCCATAATCTTACTGAAATGATTAAACAATTCAAGAACTTTTTCATAAAATCTCATTTTTCAGCATTTGTAACAAAGGAACGAACGGAACCACAAAGGTGCATTTCGAAATGTTTCTCACGATGTCTCAAACAAACAGAACTTTTTTCATCATCATGTCCGTTCCTTGGAAAAGTAATAACTAGATTCTTTATGAAAGCACTACGATAACAATAACTATTATTACAGTTTCAGTTAAGAACGACTCCTTTTCCAGTTATTGTTACAGTTATTTAATAGATTGTTTTCAACACACACAAAACAAAGAATTAAATACCGAGATCACAAACAGGCATTGAAATCATGTTCGATTCCAAAAAAACCAGTTAAATGAAAAATACAGTTGTTACTGTTATATTATTATTATTCATATTACACATCTGTCTGTTAGGACAAAAACTAAACTGAAAAAAAAAAGATACTAGGTAGAATATAAACAAATATTACTAGGTACGAATATTTTTTACTTTTTTTACGCCCAAAACTTGCATTTTAATTTATTTAAAACATGTGTCATTGTAGAATGGACACCAGAAACAGTCTATATATATATATGTGTATTTAATAATAATGCATTTTGCAACACACACATGCATGAAAATGAGCCCCAAATTATTACTATTCATCACAGTTACTCTGAATGCATAAACTGTGATGAATAGTAATAATTTGGGGCTCATTTTTATGTGTGTGTTACTCTGAATGCACCAACTGTGATGAATAGTAATAATTTGGGGCTCATTTTCATGCATGTGTTACTCTGAATGCACCAACTGTGATGAATAGTAATAATTTGGGGCTCATTTTCATGCATGTGTGTGTTACTCTGAATGCACAAACTATGATGATCCGATTTAGTACAACTCCAGGAAAAGCATGGTTGTGCAGACTTAATAACTAACGTTCGTGTTTATTAAAATAATAAAGACTTAGACAGAAAAGTTTTAATTACATGTACCTTAAAATGAATTTCAATAAATACTTAAGCTATTTAATTCTAACTTTTCAACAGAAAAAATCCATTTTCAAATATTTTCAATAAACTGTAAATAAATCGTAAACTAGTAAATAGAAAACTGTTTATCTGCATATTGACACTTGTTTGTTGGATGAAGTGTTCACTTTTTACCCACCTCAGGTACCACGAGTTGATCATAGTTTGAAATACAGTGATGTAGCTAGTTGATTGTTCGGCTTAGATTGTAGGTTACAAATTAGGAATGATTCCTTTTTTATTAATCTCCATTCATCTTTCACCAAGTCTATTATTCTGGAGTGTTCACTGCTTGGTATTTTGGTATAGTCTTTACTTAGGTGGTTGTAAATTCCAGAGTTGGGCAAATAGTGTAAACTTGATCCAACAAACAAGTTTCATTATCTGCATATGCCTAACAAACTTATCAAGTGATGTGTTAGGTAAATGTTTAAACTTTAGAAATATATATATATATATATACGTATATAGGTGTATTCACATCGTGATAGACTTGCATGACAACAAATAAGACCAAGGATCTTAATGACTTTCAAAGGGGCATGATAGTAGGTGCCCATTTGTTTTATCTTATTATCGGTGGTCATTTCTATAATAGGCTTTTCAAGACGATCTGTTATCAGAGATTAACAACAGTGGCAGTAAAATAAAAAGAAAATGTCTTCTGTTAGAAAATAAACTAAACGTGACAATCAGCAAGAAAAGATTATTGGATAGTGACACTAGAATGAATCCTTCAACAATAGGGGAGGGTTTGGTTACCTCCAAATATAACAGTGAAGAACATTAGAAAAAACATCACATAGTAGTTAACAGCTAGTCTAAGAACAACTTATTAAAGAATCAATCAGGAAAGCATGGCTCAAAGGTGCTTATGGCCACTGAAAGCTAAAAGTGATGTGTTCAGATGAAGTAACATGACACTTACCTGTACTGTAAATACAACAAAAATATGGAGAAAAACCATTAGGTACTTCCCTGTTTTTTTTTCCATGACTGTAGACTGCTGTAAGTGGTGTAATGGTGTGGGGGAAGTATTTCTGTGGAAAAGTAACGTTCAGAGTGTTACCTACCATGTTTATCCACAATTTCTTCCCTGATAGGGAAACGGCTCTTCTAATAATTTAACCCTAGAATCCATTAAACTTGCATTGTTCGAAGAACATCACAATAATTTCAGTAATCTCCACTGACCAGCACAATCACTAGACTTCAATCCATTCAAGCATCTTTGGAATGAACATCAAAACACGTTCAACACCATAATTATCTGTCAACACCTGTGAACCAGTTTCTGACCATATTCATTGACAAATGAACTACAATTACACGAGATACATCTTTTGGTGTCTACGGCCATACCTGTAGCATCTTTTGCTGTCTACGGCCATACCTGTAGCATCTTTTGGTGTCTACGGCCATACCTGTAGCATCTTTTGCTGTCTACGGCCACACCTGTAGCATCTTTTGCTGTCTACGGCCATACCTGTAGCATCTTTTGGTGTCTACAGCCATACCTGTAGCATCTTTTGGTGTCTACGGCCATACCTTTAGCATCTTTTGCTGTCTACAGCCATACCTTTAGCATCTTTTGGTGTCTACGGCCACACCTGTAGCATCTTTTGGTGTCTACAGCCACACCTGTAGCATCTTTTGGTGTCTACGGCCATACCTTTAGCATCTTTTGCTGTCTACGGCCATACCTTTAGCATCTTTTGGTGTCTACGGCCATACCTGTAGCATCTTTTGCTGTCTACGGCCATACCTTTAGCAGTAACGGCCAACTCAGTTTGTTTTTTTCATAGTTGGTTATAATATTTATATTAATTATGAATAATTTTAAGTTAATTTTTATAATAACAAAGATTATAATGTTTAGTATAAGGATTTATAACTAGCATGAACCTCACTAAGCTCCCAGACCTTGTGAGATATTATTGGGATTACAGCTGAAATACTGTTAACAACTTCAGCACCCGAATGGTTATTCAATACATTGTAATCAGTATAGATTTTGGTTATATACACTTGACTTCACTAATTTATAGGTTACTTTTTGGTTCTCATGAAAAACAGTTCCTTGCTTGTGATCAGAAGTTGTTACTAATTAAAAATAAACCCCATCAATTAATCCTGTTATTTTACTTCTTTAAATATGTACATCTTTACAATTAATACTACATTCAGTGTTTGAAAGTGTTCATCTCAATGCTTCATTTTGTGTCCATTTGTTACACTTAACTATGACTGATTACATGATCACTTTTTATACTCGACTACGAGATCACTCTGCTTAAAATTTGTTTATTCTGAGCTTGTTAATCACAACTAAACAACTTCTTGAAATAAAAAAAAATGTCACCTGGTAAGACAGCAGTAAGTTTATGAACTTACAATGCTAATATCCGGGGTTCAGTTGCCCAAAGTATACACAGCAAATAGCACAATGTGGCTATGCATTAAAAAAACAAACAATAAAAAAGCCAACAACGACAACTGAACTTTATATAAAACAATACTAATAATGTAAACAAAACATTAAAAACAAAGTTAAATAACTTTTTTGTTGCACTACAAGATGAGCATGAACTTTTTTGTCCAAAAAAACATAACTTTAAATA